CCCCCCCCCCAAGCCTAGGAAAAGTCTGCTTTGACAATTGCGTTCAATATCACGTTTACGTGTTTTAAGCCTTAATGAGTCTAGCTTCTGCTGATCAGTGTTCACTGAGCAGAGCTCCTCAGCCCTGCTTGGAATATGAAATAAAGTTGTCAGACGACTCTCAGGGTCATTAGCTCTGTACTCAGTCGGGGGGGAATAGTGTTGGCGCCTTGTGTAATGGCTGTCTGTGTTCCCAGGTTGAGTTTTGACGAAGGACAACAGTGGAAGAAGTACAGCTTCACCAACACGCCTCTGTTTGTGGACGGGGTGCTGGGCGAGCCTGGGGAGGAGACTCTCATCATGACGTGAGTGACAACACATTTGTCAGAATGGAAATCAATCAATTACATGGAGAAATAACAACATATATCAGGGATGTCGAACTCAATTTCGCCACGGCCACATTAGCATTATGGTTGTACTCAACGGGCCGGTTGTAACTTTAAGACTATATAAAAATACATATATACATATTTAATATATATAAAATAGTGTATTATATTTCATTATTGCCTCTGCATTGGATTATTATGGGATAGGGTAATAACAATTATAATTAACTAAGTTTGAAAGAAGAAGTCTAGGCCAAATAATTGCAAGTCTCTTCAGTGCGCATGTAACAAAATGATTTAAAAAGATAAGCCAAATTCTGGAAAAAAAGTCAAACTCAAAAAAAGGAAGTGACATTTTGAAAATAAGTCAAATTCTAAGAAAAAAGTATAACTTGAGATGCATTGTGGGAGATGTAGTTTATGGGCAACGTGCTTCTGTAAATCGGCATGTAACCTTATAATAAACATATTATATTCTTTGCAAGCCCTTGTGGGGCCACAGAAAATGAAGTCACGGGCCGATTTGGCCCCCCGGGCCTTGAGTTTGACACCCCTGACATATAGCCTCTGTGTATGTGTGTTTTTGTGCTCCTTAACCCGTGCATCTATATCTAAGCCAGCAAGATTCAGCATTTCCCGACTACCTGTTTTTCTTTTCATGAATAAAAGAGATCTCTCTCAAGGTCTACCCAACATCAAAACTGGCAGTCACCGAATTATGATCACAGGAGATCAATGCTTTGGCAGCCAGCGACAGCATGACTGTCCATTTGAAGAGCATGAAGGAAAATGATCAAAAAAATGCCTGAGAAAACAGACTTTGGTCTGAAGAAGTTTTAACAGCATTATGAAGTCGATAGAGTGTTTGGTATCATTCGCCCTGTCCTCAGAATCCAGATTTACCAAGATTCCTTTTGTGTTCTTTCACATTTATTAATAGAATAATAGCCCAGAGCTGGTGTGCGTGCATATGGTATGACACAGCGCTTGTCCCGTATTGCAGCAGAGATTTAGGGCTCGGGATGTGCTGGGAAAGGGTTTGCACAGCCATTACATCAATGTTTCAAGACACCTGCCATAAATGACAGTCTGACAGTGGGCTCTGTAGTCAGCTCTACAGGAGAGTGATAGGGGGCAGCTGGAGAGACAAGGAGGGAGAAAGAGAATAGGGAAAATGCACGGCAATAGTCTCAACAAGAACAAAATAAAGGGTTGGTGTAAAGACAATGCAGACATTTTGTTTTTCTTCTTGAGCTAAAGAGCTCTGCGCTGGCAGACACACCATTAGTTCTCATAAGATTATCATGCACTGTTTTCTTATCAATTTGTACTCATTCTCACAGTAAGTGCCTGTCGTGGTCGGGTGGCTCCAGAGCTAATTGACAGATTGATTGTGATAAATATGTTGCGGTACAAATGGTGAGGGGGTCAGAGAAGAGAAACACCCACTCAATTTAGCCGGAGATGGAAAATTATCTGGTTAATCTCATAACCTTGGATTGTGATTTGTTTCTGACCATTTAAATATGGGTATTCATTATTATTACTTTCAGAGGGAATAAGCTTCCCAATGTACAAACTCCCAATGCAAACAAACTTAAAATGTGAAACTGGGCATTTTATTCCAGTTCCAACTTTAGAGAAAGGCTGGTAGTTTTCTATATAATTAAATGATAACAAATTCCATATAAAGTAGAAAACCAACAATATACCAAAGTGCAAGTATGCTCCATCAAATTAATTGTCAAATTGTCCCTCCAACAATTCCTCTCTGATTTCGAAATTGGAAATGCTGCGTCCTTTTTTTCCCCCTTAACCCAGTCTTTACCTGTAACTGTCTGTGTTTTTCTCATATAATTTATTTTCTCATAAAGTCACTATTCTAATCTTTAAACAACATTTCTGTTAGTAGTTATTTGAAGCATGTTTTTTGTATAACAACCAACATCATGCATGTTTTTTCTCCAGGATATTTGGCCATGTCAGTCATCGCTCAGAGTGGCAGCTGGTGAAGATCGACTTCAGGTCCATCTTCAACAGGAGGTGTAAAGAGGAGGACTATCAGACATGGCACCTTCACAACCAGGTGGCAACCCTAACCCTATAACACACAAAAAGAAGGCCCCTTTAAATAGTTTTTGTTACAGTGTTTAAACTCATTGAGCAGCATGCCTCAGCCTCAGGGGTAATGTGTGATCACTGGCTGCTTTTAGCCTGGCGCTTCAGTGAGTGGACTAAAAGCTGGACATCTCTGAGTTCCCAGAGCACTTATGCAGATTCTCCCGCCTCTCCTGCTGATGCTCTGAGTCAACCGACTCTAACCCCCCCACATCGCATACATTAAACATGCCTGAAGAGCCTTCAACCTGGCCGGGGCCTGGAGCCCAGCCAGAGTCTGGAAAGCATAACTTTATTCACGGCCCCCGCTCTGTAATTGGTTCAGACACCCATATGCTCGGAGCAGGCTAATGATCAAAACATATAGCACGGAAGATGACAAGAGTCCAAGCCAATTACAGGGCCAACTTACCGGGAATGTAGATGTACTGTATTTCCGACTGCTGCAAGAAAAAACTCAACTTTAGAGTATTTGTGTGAAAAGTTAAAGACATTTCTAAGCAGCTGGGAGTCTTTTTGTATATACAGCCAGATTTGTGTAGAGCATCTCACTACTGACACCTAATGCACAAAGCCAGGATGTTCAGGTCATGTAAATAGAGGTTAATAGGATGCATTGAAACAGTCTGGAGTTTGTACTCAAACTGATCTTATATTCACGTTTCATGCATAGATAAAAGGCTAAAAAAAGAATAAAAAGTTTTTTTTAAAAAAGGTTTAAAAAAGGATTGGCATAATTTGCCACTTATCATTCCGTCATCTAAGAAATAAAAAAACTCTTAAAAATAACTCAAGCAGCACACTGTGTGACATTTGCAACGCAGGAACAGTTGTTGAGTTTAGCACACCACGCAGCACAAGGCCGTAAATATTCGAACAGGAAACATGCCAAAGTTAAACAAGGCAGCGGGGATTTTCACACAGTGAGATGCCCACATGGTTGGTTGCATTGTGCAAATTATTTATGGTGGCAAGTTACAAAAGCGGCTCATTTTTTTAACCCTCTCTGCTCGTGTTTCTTCACGGATCGGGTCTCCCAGGGCAAGTCCTGCCTCATGGGAGTGAAAAGGATCTACAGGAAGTTGAAGCCCTCGTCTAGGTGTGTTATGGGAAAGACGTATTCTGTTTCCATGACGTCTGGCTCCTGTGACTGTACTGAGGCTGACTTTGAATGGTGAGTTTATTATAATTTTGTACCAATCCCTTTTAAGACCAATGTTTTTTTCCTTGTTGTTGTGTAATCTTAATTTTTGTGTGTTTTAATCATTTATTTGGTTAAGTACATACTCAACCAGATGCAGTTAAAACTCATAATTGATAAAAATGGGATACATCGTTAATACTGATACGCACCATCATTGTCAAATCTTACTACAGGATCATTACTAATGTTTTTTGTCCTATAACTCCCTTTTTTACCATCATTCATCAAAGATATAAAATGTACATGTAATTTAACAGAGTCTTTCATTCTGAAGTTATTACCTTTTAACCAGTTTGTTGTAATCGTCTAATAATTGCTACTCTTATTACGAAGAATAATATGTTTTGCTTTTTGTCTTATGTTTTACCAAGTAATAGTATAAGTGGGTACTTATTGATGGAAACTCCCAAAAATAGTTGACAATTCTCTTATAGCTATCTCCCAGAAACCACTTAAAACTTCACAATACCTAAAGCCATGAATTTGGATTGCTTTCTGCTCACCACATTCTCTTTAGCATTTTGAAGTTCTTTGTGCTGACTTTGGATTTGGAGTGTCTTGAAATACAGAATAATAACTGGAGTGAGCTTTTTACAATCTGAGAAATAGTCCTCATGATGTGTATAGAGACTACAAACAATTAATGCAAGGTATTGGTAACAAACGGAGCTTGACCAATCATTACAAATAATTAATGGACTTGCATTTATTTAGCGCTTTTCCAGTCTTTACAGCCCCTCAAAGTGCGTTTACATACCAGTCAGCATTCGCCCATTCACACCCATTCATACACAGGGAGGGGCTGTCATACGAGATGCCCCCTGCTCAGGTAGACTCACATTCACACACATTCAAATACCATTGGTTTAAGTTTCTTGCCCAAGGACACATCGACATCTGGAGTGCAGGTGCTGGATTACCACTAGGGTTAGGGTTAGGAACCATCAACTTTCCTATCAAAGGAAGACCCAATAAACCCCGGGACGTTTTAATGAGAGGTCTGTTTTTTTAGGAAAAGAAGAACCCAGGAATTTGGGATCTTGAGCAAAACTACTGTCAAGTTCGGCTGCAGTTGGTTCCAATTTGACTGTTATCTCCGGAAAACACTGACAGACACTTTGGAATGCTGCTAACATTAAGCCTTAAAGAAAGCAAAAGCAAAGCAAAATCAGCTCGGAATTAAAAAATTGAGATTTTTTCTTTATCCTGTCAGTGACACCAAGACTTAATGCTATTAGAAATGGCTTACAAATTAGTAGTTTCTACATTTCTTCATTTTTTTATTACTCAAACAGGAGTAAATAACACATTATTTGGACTCTTTTAAACTCTTGAGGATTTCACATTTGTCTCACAAGTATTATTCCCTATTTTGCTTTTTTGGACAATGGGGTACATTACAAGCATATTCAAAATCAAGTATACTCACTTTGCATTCTGACATCTTTGACTAAATAGGGTCTTATAGGGAAGTTAGAAATACAAAGCAAACAGATGCAATCCTATATCACTATACAGCTCCAACTGTGAGCACTTCCAATCCTTCAGAACCAATATGGACAATGACAAAGAAAGAAAGAAAAACTAAATAGGAATGAATGCACAAGTGTCATTAGCAGATACTGAATTGATTGTACCAGAATACAAATGATAATTCAAAGATGCTTTGTTGGCTGCTGCTGGTGAGTCTTTCTAATACAAGTGTAGCTCACGAGAATGTTTTTCTACACATCCTCACAACCTGCTTTGAATCATCAGCAGTATTTCATTTTTTGTCCTGCTTTGGTCCCAAATCTGGTCTCCTGAGCAAGCCGGCTCTCGGAACAAGCACCATCAAAACCATAAATCACTGAGCCTAATAGCTTTCATTAACAATCACAAAAGTTTTGCATCTGTGTGCATGTCCTACTAATTGGGGCAATTTGTCGCTATCATTTTGGCGACATAGTGCTGCTCTCCCTTTTAATTTGTAGGACAAACAACTTGTGGGCTGTGTTTGAAAAGCACCAAAGTGGCGCTTTTACTTCTCTCAAGTCTATACCAAAATGACATCATTTTAGGTTTTTGTTTCCCAAGATTTCGTTTGAAATACAGAGATGATGATATGTTTCAACAACACAGTCTCACTCCCTGAACGTCCAGGAGCGATAATCTGGTGTTTTTTAGTCGATGAGTAGTGCAGATATCACTGTAAAATCAATCGACAGTAAGGAGAATACTTACTTACGGGTGTAAAATCCTCCGTTATCCAATGGGAATGGAAGCTCACATTGCCTTTAACTGCCACCGACATGGACCGATGCGGTGCTTCCCTGAGCGTCAAATACCGCCGCCGATGGGAATACATTGCAATCAGTTGAAATCTCTTTGCGTCCGTTTATGAAGCTGAAGGACACTCGGCGCCTCACAACTGCACGCCAAAGGACCCTGACCAGGCATCGCTCCTGGACTATCAGGGAGTGAGAGTGTGTTGGTTTCAACATTAAATTATTTACTATCCTTTGATTGATTTGTCTGTGAGTGAAAAGAGCCATTATACAAATACATGTTGCACTTGAAATGGTGCGTTCATCATTTTTCCAACAGCCTCAGGATTCTTTGTTTCCGTTAGCGAATCCATCCTGGTTTCTAATTGGATAACTGTTTCTGTTTTTTGTCTGGTTCCATCATTACAGTGATTATGGCTATGAGAGACGGACCGACGGCAAGTGCACCCCCGCCTTTTGGTTCCATCCATCATCCATGTCCAGGAGTTGTACCACAGGGATGACGTTCCTGAACAGCACCGGGTGAGCACAGGACGAGAGACTAGAACAGGCGCACGTATTCTCCATAGTGACTCGCAGCCATCGGGCGAAATGAGTGGTGCATTTGCGCCGTATATCTCTGTGTATGTTAATTAGTTTCTCAGGGACAACAAGGACAGGCTGAGAAAATGTGGGGCTGAATGACCAAACATGCTACAAGTAATAACCGCTGGTAGTGACGTGATCCACTGTGGGTGAATATTGGTTTGAGTCATGTTTGAAAATACTGTAAATTCTTTAATATATATATATTATTCAGTGTATGCGGGTGTAAGTAATGTGGCCTTTCAAGATTGTACTCTCTTTAACAAAACAACCTTCCTTTCAAGGTCCATTTAAAGCAGTCCTAGAGGTTTTTAACATGTCTTTGAGTAGATACAGATTTTAAACATTTGTTATAATTTGCTAGTGCAGTGAAATAAGTGCACTTAATAAGAATTCTTGAAATAATAACTCTGGATGATAGAAAACTGACAAATGTCTTGAAATAGAAATACATATCAATCTGACTTTGAATGATCCTTTGTGATTCTTCAAACAGTAGATGCTGCTCACTCTTGAAATGCTTGTAATTATTTTTTATTTGTTTATTGTTAACTTAATGTATGTGTAAGATGTCTGGACACACTGCTTATATTTCATTTGAAAATATCAGCGAGCCCATCCTATTTTTCATTAACTTCTAGTGATTTATGCAAAGTTTATTATTTTTGTTTTATTTGTCCAACTTCATACTAACACTGCTCAATGTTAACCATATCCCCCCGTAGAGTCTTGCAAAATTAAACAAGTTCAGAGTTTTTAGTTATTTATTATTCATAGTCTAATTTAAAATATATATATTTTGAAAACATTGCACATTTTATAATTTTCAATTATAAAATACAACATGATCTTGTTAAAAACATTTAGTTCTTAATTGTGAAATTACAATGAAATGTGTTTTACAATGTTCAGATTTCTTATCTGAAAACATTTGCAGTCAAGCATAGTTTTAAGAAAATATGGCCTCATTTGCATAATATATTAACATGATGTATCTGAAAACGTTTAATAAAAAAATAATTGCCTAAGTGAATTATCAAGTAGGGAAGTTTCATATTGACATCTTGTGTTACCCTTCACAATTGTAGTTTGCACAAAACCCAACCCCTTACCCTAACCCTTAAACATTTGAATCAGCTATATCTCTTCCAAAATCTTCTTTTCCTCTGGATAGTAAACATAACGTTTTTCCTTTCAATTATTGTTTTGTATCCATGTCAAGTTTACACATGTTGTGGTGTCCTGCATAAGTATATTGAAGCTTTCTTTATTTGTCCACCGGCAGCTACAGGAAAGTTGTCTCCAATAACTGCACGTCTGGAGTCAGTGTGGAGTACACCTCCCGCAGGCAGCAGTGTCCCATCCAGGCCCCCAAAGGTCTCCACCTGGTCACCAGTGAGGGCACGCTGTCAGCCACTCTGGGCACCAATGTCACCTTCCTGGTTTTTCTGGAGGAGGTCAGCGGATTTCTGTTCTTTTTTAAAAAAACTTCACAAGCTGTCACACCATACCAAGCATTTGTCACATTCTTATTTAGCTCTCCTGCTAGGTGAAAAAAAAAGAAGAAATTGTTAGAAATATAGCATATGGAATCTCAGTTAGCAGCTGTGGATCCTGCTTCATTACACTTCCGTATGTCCCATGACTGGACTGTTACTATGGAGACAAAAACACATGCTCAACTCCAACCATGTTATATTCATACTCTCTTTACATACACTCACAGTTATATCATTGAAAATATAAAAATAAAACCTTCTGCTCTCCCTGGCCAGCTTGGTGATACTGCCATAGGACCAAGGACAGTGATGTTACTGACTGAAGTTCTGTACTTAAAGTACTACACCCATTTCCAAAGTAATAGATTGTTGTTCGTAGGGTCTATGGCAGTGCAACATGTTCATTTACTGTACTATAACATCTCCAAAATCAGAGTGCTGAAACTCAAATGTTCTTGTCAAATGTGGCTAATGTAATGCCATGAACTGCTCCAGATCCCAACTCAACAATTGAATCTTTCCTCTCTACCACCTGGATAAAGCAAAAATGTAGAGCAGTTTCTTTTTTAGCTATCTACCGTTTTTGGGCAGCCAACTTAAACTCTTGAAGTTGAACATATTTCACCCAAAACTTTTGTTCACAAATATTGATAAAAAGCCATGCAAAATACTCTAATTCCTAATTTAAGGCATAACTTTACTTGACTTGTTGGTACTTTTCACTTTACTACATTTATCTAAAATCCACCTTACTAACCCTATCAAGGTAATCATAGATAAATCTAACTAAATTATATCCTAAGTATATTTTATGTGTTCAAACCTCCCATTACAATGGCGCTTACATGCTAGTCATTTGTTGTACTTCAATAATAATATAAAGTGTGTAAGGATATACCCTCTCTGAAGGGAGCAGTTTTGCCCAACAAGTACTTTTATTATCACTTTATCACAATCTTAAATGTAAGACTCTTGTGTTTTTCCCGAGTGATACAGATACTTTTACTTATTTAAATATATTGATACATTTCCAACACTTCCCATGGATGTGCAACTGTAATATAGACGGAAACAGTTTCCTTCCAGCATTCATGAGGGGCATCTCGCAGTCTTGTTATGATAAAAAATCCCCTATTTCCTAAAGAGATGTTCTCCTTATTTCCTCATTTGCTAGTTAGCTAAATAAATAAGTAAATCTGTAGTTGCTAGTATTACTAAGAATTGTACGCATCAAAATCTATTCACAGATTAATTTATAAACAGGTGTTGCAACCCAATCATTAGGATTCCCTCCCGCAATAGCAGTACTTAATAATTAAAGCTATATAGACTTAAATACCATTAAGTGGACATATCTATCTAAAGTACCATACATTATGATAACTAGGACCACAGAAACGACCAATACTCGGAGACTGCAATGAAAGTGTCAAGCTTTAGGACATAATTTCACATCTTTGTACAAGAAGAACAAAGTGCCAAGGTGGAGTGCAATGTTACAAGGTGTTTGAACCTGAGAAAATCTGTGGGTTTGATGTTTCCAGGGCGACGGGGCGAGGACAAGCATTACCCTGGACTTCGGAGACGGCCACGCTCTGACCTACTCCAACGTGAGCTCTATTGAGGAAGGGATCAAATACGTCTACAAAGCTGTGGGAATATACCGAGTGACGGCCACAGGGGAGAACATCCTTGGCTCAGAGACAGTCATGCTCTATCTGCATGTAACATGTAAGATACTGAATTTGGCGATATTTGGTGTTATTAATGTGCATATGTATTTATTAGGATAGACTATTTAGAGCTAATGCTTGAAACTGATGTATTAAATCACTGGTTTAAGGAAAACAGAAAATGAACAATACTGGCATATACAAGGGCACAGTCACATTGTGTGCCACCAACCGTTCTGCCAAACTCTCCTCCAGTCTGCTTAATTAACTGATTCTTAACCTGGTCATGCTGATGTCTGTCTAGAACTAGGGTTGTCAACATGAATGTGTTAATGCACACCAATAATCTGGAAATCTTAACTCAACGCAAATTAATCAAATGACCAAAGTTGACCCCAACTTCCTCCCGGAGTTCCATTGAATCATTTTAACCATGAATTGGATGGCAGTGAAACATCAAAGAAAGCAGAAAAATGGGCACGAACATGTATTTCACTGACAGGAGACCACCAAGACAACCTCAGTGTAACTGAAAACCCAATCCAACGGCAGCTCCACTCATTTGGTTTAGATATGAGAATGAAAAACGAGGGAAGGCATTTGTTTGAACCATGTGCTTGTTTCTTGAAGTTGCACAGGAGTGGGAGATAGAGGACAATGCTGTCCACCACTGTAGGAACAGATATTGGAACAGATATTGCCCGCAGTATGATAGCAGCAGTAAGATTGCTGACATACGAGCATATGCCCTGTGTTGCGCACATTATTGAGAGAACAACCACAGCAAACGTGACAGTAGCTTTGTGTGATGCTTTAGAAATGGTCGAACTTGCCATGCCAATAATTCAAAATGTTATAAGAATGTAAAAAAACATTAGATTTTTCTTAATAGTTTGCATTGCATTTATTTATATATAGAAACATATTTAATCTCTTTCTGAAATACAAGTAAATACAAGTATATAAGACTTGCAATTAATCATGATATATCAAAGATTATTATTGTTTTATCCTAAACCTTTTAACTATTCAAAACATGTCTACACTCCAAAAACAGTTGCACCACCTAAGAATTACAATGGATGTCACATTTGTAACTATATCCTAACACTAGGATGGATCAAATGCAGAGAAAACATTTTGGTACTAGTACCTGTACTACGTAATGACAATAAAAGTAAAAAAATCTACCTGGTGTGACTTAAGACATACATATCTTCTAATATTCAAAGGAATGATCTAAAAAATGACTTCTCTTTGACTCTTTCTGCTTTCCATTTTTTTCACATTCAGAGGAATTGCGGCTTTCAACTTGTACATGGTGTACCACATTCTGTTCTTTATCTCTTCACAGAACATCCTCCCCTCCCATAACCAAACAAACAAGCGAGATAGAACAAATCCCATTAAACTTCCACTCAAGTCAGCTTATGCCTCACAGCCGCTCAGCCCGTGGAGCCGCTGCAGCCTCGCATGTAGGGCTGACCACCCCTGGTGTATTCTGGGGGTGACAGATGTAACGTAGCTGACTTATTGATCAGGGAGCGCTGCTGTCCCCGACAATCTGTCAATCCTGTGAGCCAGCCAAACAAATAGAGCCACCGCAGGCTCCGGAGTGCAGCAAACAAAAAATAACACACATATGGCAGCTAACGGTCCCAGCACAGGACGGAATTCTGAACAAACTCACCCTCCCCTCCTACTTAAAAACCCCACTCTCCACCTCTTTCTCCTTCATTTCAAAGTTGGTTCTTTAATTTTTCCCTTGTTTTTGGAGTTCTGTGCAAATGTGCTATATCTGTGTGCCTGAGTAGGTCAGCTGGAGCATATCCATCTCTCAGCTCCCTTTGTGGCGGTAAAGAATAAGGAAGTGAACCTGACTGCTGTTCTGCTGCCCAGCCAAGTGGGAACAGTCACCTACATCTGGTGGATCGGAAATAACACAGAGGTAGTGTACACTCAGGACTTTCCAACTTCTCTCTGGTACGCCTTTTGCCGATTGCAATTAAGTAGGAATTGCTGACTCTTCAGCTCCAGAATGCGAGAATCGTTATTTTGCTAAGCAATTTTTGGGCATCCAGGTTGCAGAATATTATGGCCTTGTTAATCAGAGAATATCAGAAGCACAGCCTAATTACTGATAGCCAGTGAAGTGTATCCTTTTTTCATTATAACTCCTCTAACTAAGGTCAAAAACTGCCCTGGCAGAGATCAATCCCACACATAAATGAGGTCCGAAAATACAATTTTCTTTACTAAACCCGGTTGATCTAACCATGCAGAGAAACAACACGTAGCCAGAAATGAATGCATCGACCGCTGTATGTGGAATTTTCCATACTGTTTGTTAGTGTTATATTTCTCTGGCCCATCTTTGGTTGCACATTTATGGAGTGGACTTATAGAGCTCGGGATTGTTTTGAAATGTTGTACAATAACAATATATTGCTACCCAGAAGAAAATACAAGAATAGCAGGCTAATTGGCTAACTTGCGCTAGCCTCACAAGCTAGGCTACATATTAGCATGCTAAAACATTTTTTAGATTACACTTTCATCAAATGACTTACAATAAGTGGTTTTAACCATGAAGAAACCAACTCAAAAATCATGCAGGTAAATTAACCAAAATTGAAGTGGTAGGGTGTCTGTTTTTATCTTTGTTATGCTTAAAAATGTCTCATGTTTAAAAATCCTGTACATTTGCAACACAGAGTGAATTCACATCTATGTGTGCTTCAATTCAAAGCCGTTTTTTTATATTTAAAACCTAGGAAATTCCTAAATAAAATGTAAATCAGACAACTTTGGAGTTCCCAGAAGGCGGTTGTATCACTTGTCCTTTGGCAGAGGTTAAAATAGACTTCAAGCCTTTAGCTCTGGTGCCAAGCTAACATGCCCCAGACCAGTCTCATTAAGCACAAAGAGAGGGAAATTAAGCAAATCGATTTCTCAGGCAGAGCACTAAAGCTGCGTTGGCACTAAGTGGTTGGCATCAGCTGCTTTTGTCATGCTTCAACAGCTGGGAGGCCACCAGCTAACAAGTAATCTCCAATCATCTTCATGCAAGCAATGTGGTCGTTATGAACTGACACTTTTTACTATTTTGCTGATATGCAGCTCATGCCAATGCTGGTTTGCTGCCATAGCTCCCTCCACTACCATAACCTCCTTCTTCTATAATAAACTTTAGGTATTGAGATTGAGGGTTAATGCTAGGGATGGTCCGATCGCTGTGACATATTTCTGCTTCACAAACGTTGCATACCGCTATTTTATTGTCTTTTTCGGACACCTTAAAATACGCCCAAACCGGTGAAGCCATTTTGGCGAGCTTGTTTTACCGCGCACAGAGAAAAGTGTCATGTATTTTACGTCATGTGATCGGCTCTCGCGATCGGTCTTTACAGAGAGCACCGATTGATCGGCAGGGGGTGAATATCGGCCGATATCGATCGGCAGCCGATCGATCAGAGCATCCCTAGTTAATGCATGTGTTTATCGGGAGTAATTTGTTCTCCAGCAGAATCCTTTTCTGAAAGGTCCTTCTGAAGCAGAGCCTTTTTCAAACAAGCACAGCTCAACACCCATTTGGCTATAAATGCTTGATTTCTTGTTGATGTGTCCCCGACTGAATTCATAGAGACAGTAAAGATCAATGCTAGGACACTGTTGTTTAATAAAAATACTATTATAAATATCTCAGAATCGTATTAAAATCAGAATACTTCATTTATACCGGTGAAAATAAAATGTTGTGACATATGTTCCTTTTATATTAGAATTAAAATATTTACCAAACATTAATAGAAACGTGCAATAAACCTATAACATTTAATATGATGGATATATGTATACAAACACAAGTAAAATAAAATTAAAATAAAATAACATTTATGAGCACTTATAATTATTCAGTGATATAAGCAGATTCAAATGCATAATGGGGAATGCAGAAACCTCTGAAATGCGATTGGAATTAAGATACTTCAAAAAGCAACCTCCTTTCTTCTGGACCAACAGAAACATTGTACACTTTATGTCCTGTTTTATATATTCTCCACTGTGTCTGTCATCATAACTGTAGTTGTGTAAATGTGTTTGCTCAATGCCAACAGGGGCCTTCCACAAGGACAGCCAGTTATGTCAGTGGGTAATAAACCACGGCATTATTAGCATCTTATAGCTATTTGAAGAACAAATGGAGACGTGAGTAATGACAGTGAGGAGCGGCGGTGTCGCACAGGGAACTCTCCTGTGTGTGTGTGTGTGTGTGTGTGTGTGTGTGTGTGTGTGTGTGTGTGTGTGTGTGTGTGTGGTGTGTGTGTGTGTGTGTGTGTGTGTGTGTGTGTGTGTGTGTGTGTGTGTGTGTGTGTGTGTGTGTGTGTGTGTGTGTGTGTGTGTGTGTGTGTGTGTGTGTGTGTGTGTGTGTGTGTGTATGTGTTGGTTTTACATTCACTTCAGCGTGCAGAGCCTCTATTTTTAATTAGGACTGCCTCACACACAGACCTGGTGCTGCATTATTCATAGAGCTGTCTTCTGCAAAGCTGTGGAGCTGGCAAATGGATCCAGGTGTAGATATTAAAGATGGGAACATCAAATGATGCAGATAAACATTTAGGAAGGCTACTACT